TGCCGCACTTATTGGGTAAAAAATTGTCACCAAAAAATTTGCGTTCAAAGAAAAGCAATATTATAAAACGCAAAGGATTGAAACGCCATCGTAACAGTATAGGAAGATTTGGAAACTTTATGGGTTCAGATCGGCAATTTACATGGGCAGAGATATTAGCTAAAAATCCAGAAGATATCATTCGGAAGGAGCGTAATGTTCAAACTGAAGAATTTGACGACGATTCAACTTGCAAATATAGGATAAGAAAACTTTCTTCATCATCTGAGAATTCAGATTACCAGTCTCCTCTTCTACAAAAGGATTATTTAGAAAGACTTAATCCTACTTATGCCATGAGAGAAGTAGTTGCCAATTTGAAAAAGAAAGTAGCTGCAAAACATAAAGGAAATGAAGAAAATGTTTCAAAAGCCAACTCAAGAGTTAAATGTGACAATATAGAAGTACTGATCGACACTGTACGAGAAAGTCCATTAGCTAAGCCCTGTACAAGATCTGCTTTAAGAAAAACTAAGAATAATTCTACAAAATCTAGTCCTACAAAGGACACCCCAAAAAATCCTATATCTAAAGAAAAAAATAAAACTAAGAAATCAAAACCTATTGAAATCAAAGAAAAATCAGAGGACTCTGATAATTCAACTAAGTTAAACAATCTTCCAAGAAGAACTCGAGCTAACAAAACAATTGAACAAGATGTGACGGTTGAGGAAAAGAGTATATTGGTGGTGAGAACACTTCCTACAAGAAAGTGTAACGTTAAAAAAATCGTTGAACATGAGAAGAAAAAAATAATTAATAACCGAAATACTAAAGTTCCATTTGATGGGCGAACATCTCTTGTAGTTTTAAAAAAGTTGGATATTAAAGAAATACCGGCAAGAAAAAGTAAGTCATGATATTATTTTCTGTAAATATCAATTTATATGAAAATTCAGTGGTGTGTTTCAGAGTTGCTGATCATTAATTAATTTTCTTAAGAGATGAGCTAGGTCAATTTATAACCTCAGTGTTGAGAGTCACTCACATACTCTCTAGGATGACGACCATTCCACTATATTACATTTTTTATATGTAGTTAATACTAAATTATATAAACAAAATAAGCATTATAATCTTCAAGTCTGTTACTTTGGATGTAATTTTGGACATTGTTCTACTTTTTTTTATAGCACATTTCATGTAAGGTATCTTACCTTAAAATAGTGTACTTACTTTATCTCTAGGATCTGTATGATTATTAAGATTCGTTTTTATTATCAATGTCAATTACAACAACTAATAAATATCTTTAAAAAAGATCTATTCATTGTTCACACAAAAGCCTACAACATTCAATGAAATTATTATGAGATAGTTCTGTTAGGTCGGCCACTATGACTGCAAAAAATTTTATATTTTCAGGTTCTCTGTAATCTAGTAAATCTAAATTTAAGATAATTTTCAATGTATTCACCTTTTTTTTCAGGTCCAAAGACGGCAACTAACAGACGCAAGTTAAGAAGTAATACCCGTAAAAAATTACTTCCTTAAGTTTTTTAAACCATCTAAATATTTAAATTAAAAGTCTGAAAAGAATGAATATCATTTTTTAATAAAAACATTTTTTTACTTGACAGTTGAAGATTTTTATAGAGTATCTAATTTTTATTATATTTAAAAAATATTTTGTGATAAATATTGTTTAGGAAGAAAGAATTCAATTAATTATTTGTTTTATCCCATCCATTTGATTTTATACATACAGTATTTCATTTTAAAATTCTAGTACTTTATAAAGTATGCATCTCAATATATGACAACATAATTTTTATTTTAACAACAAGTTTTTAAAATAAACTAGTTTTTTTTGTTAAAATACTGTCAATTGTATAAAATGTTTTTTTAAGACTTGGAGGCATTTAATCATTGGTTCCTTTGATGCTTTTATAACTTAAGTTAAAACATTTCAATTTATTGGTTTTCTTTACTAAAGGTTTTGTCTAACTCAACAGCGGGAATCCAGGATCGTGAACAGGGTCTCGCTTTTCCATTATTTTTTATTTGATATGTATTGACAATTAATTAGTATCACTCATCTGTTTCTGCCATTGCGTGTTAGGGCTCATTCCACTAGTCGTAAGTCCATAAACTAAAAGTCGAAAGTCTGATTCCCTTTCACACTGCGTCGGAGTCGTATAGATCGTGTTTCGCCCATTCGGTACGTAGCGAATTCGCGAATGGACGCCGACGAAGAACTTGTTGTGCTCTACTACTTACGAAGAAAATTAAAAAAATTCAATTCCAAGAAAATACTGATTGGGTGAATCCTAACAGAAAGATCACTTTGGGAATCAAACAAAAAACACGAATGGAGTGAGCAAGCAATGTTAGGAATGTGTGTCTAGGAAGGGGCGGGAGGGAGTAAAGTCGAGTTAGACAACTAGTTGAAAGCAAAAGCAGGCACCTATGACATATTAACTTTTAGTCTTAAGACGGGGTGCTGATGTTTTTTGAGTCGTATTCGACTAAAAGTCGCTCTCATCTAATGTGAACACTCTAAAAGTTATGGTACCAGAGATTGACTTTTATTTATGGACTTTCGACTAGTGGGGAAGGGGGTTAGGGCTCATTCAGACGAACGGCACGTGCCAACTGCAAGCGTCGACGGCTGCCGTCAACGGCACTAATATAGACAGGGAGCCAGTTGCATAATGGCTTCCGATGAAGAAACACTGTTATTGCTTCTACTTCGCCGTCGTCGCCGACTAAAGCGAAGAAGACAGACACGTTCATTATGGGTTGAAGAAATATTGTAGAACAAGATGGAAACTTTTTTACACTCTATCCACGTTTGCGAAGAAACGAAAATAAATTTTTCAATTATTTTCGAATGTCAACTGCTTCTTTTGATGAGCTAACAACCATTTTGAAAGCTTCAATATCTCGTCGAGATACCGTGATGCGGACTCTTGGACTATTTGCAGTCGACTGACAAAATGGCGGTCGTGGCACGCCACAACTGCAAGCGTAAAAACCCATCGACGGCTGCCGCCGAAACGTTGACGCCTGCCGTCGACGCGCTAACGATTGCCGTCGACGCGCTAACGATTGCCGTCGACGCTTGCAGTTGGCGCGTGCCGTTCGTCTGTATGAGCCCTTAGTATACTTGAAGGGAGAAATAGACCGACTGTGACCCTGACGCGAACGCCAGTACCGCTCTTGGTGGACACCTGAAATTCTGCTATTCTTATTAAGGTTTCTCATTAAGTGGCCATAAATTTTAAATGTTAATTATGTTGTATGCTAAAGCAATCTACTCATTAGACATATTTTTTTCTTATAGACTAGCTTTATAGTGCATCACAATCGTCTCTTACTTTAGGAATCAATAAAAGGTAACTTTTACAGTGTTATATTTAATTTAAATCTAACTGAAACGAATATATTATATGAGTGAAGTACCTAATTTTCGCTTTTGAAAGACGCAAAACGAATCCTTCCTCAAGTAAAATTATCATAAATTACTTCGTGTACTTTAACTGCTGTTTGACTTCATAGTCAACTTGTGTTAATTTTTATATGCGGTAAAGTAGCCAATTAAAGTACAATATTAAACAATTTTTTTTTTGAATGTATATCTGATCAATTACATTATTTTGATTTTGTAGCTGGCAATTCACATAGCTATATATCTATTGATGTGAGTAGTGACTCGAATCAAAAATAAATATTCGATTCATCCGAATTAACCATTGATTTCAACTGATAAAGGTAATTGCTATAATTAATATTATGGTTTAAACAGTACTGAAGAAAACTGTATAACTTAGGTGAAAATATGAATATTAACCTTTCTTGCTCCCGTCTCAATTCTTCTTGGACACACACATTAGAGTATAATATGCTGAAACCAAGGAATTTTATTTTATAGTTAATACGTACTAGACAGAAATTTGTATAAAGAGAATATCGGTTTTAGCGTTACTCATATTGTGTGTTCTGGACAATTAGTATGGGTCTTCTATCATCATATTCATCTATCCTTTTTACAAAAATATGCGGTACCTGACAAATGGTATCAGTCATAAGCAAATTACGCAGTAACATTAATTTCTGGAACAATTATATTTTTCCAGGCTTAAAGATTAGGTGAACTTTTTGTAGTTTCTAAATTTTTTTTTACGTAACAGGAGGCAAACGGGTAGGAGGCTCACCTGATGTTAAGTGACACCGCCGCCCATGGACACTCACATTGCCAGTAGGCTAGCTAGTGCGTTACCTGCCTTTTAATGTTTAAAGTTTAACTACAGGTGGTTTCGTAGACAAGAACATTTTTGTCACTGCTGTAGTGAAATAAATAAGATTCGAATCATTATATGAATGATGAAATAACCTAAAATATTTAAATAAATTACACTTTCGATGTATCAGCAGATATCTAATCATGAATTTAACTTTAAAAAATGTGACAGGTTGAGATTAGAATCAAATACGTTTCAGAATTACATATGTTGCTGTTGAGTATATTTTGTTTGAACAGTCAATAGAGTAATAATCTGTTAAGAAATTGTTCTAAAATTTAATTGATTATAAATCTAATAATTGCAAAATATAATTGATCTCATTCGAATCATAAATAAAGTTGTTTCGATTATCATTGGATTCATGTCCACTGTCTATCTCTAAATATCTGTCTGAGATGTCATCAGTCATCTTGACTTTTTGAAAGTTATGTCACATGTGTAGAATCAAACGGTAATGAAGTGATTAGTGAACTTTTAAATAACTTTAAATCATGACATAAGAATTTAGTTTAGTATAACTTTAACCAAATAAACTAACTTGTCCACTACAGTGTTAGTGACAAGTAAATAATTCTACCGCATAATTATTCATATTAATTCAGTGTTGTTTATATTACAATAAGTGACATAACCTACGTGTTATTACTATAAATCTGTTACACCTGAAATCTCACAATATCCCATCAATTAAGAAAGAAAATTATTTAAATAAAAATGGAAAATGAAAGAAAAAGTAACATTATTCGTGTAGGATCAAGGAAAAGTCAGGTAAGGAGTCATAAGGTCATTTTGTATGCTAAAAATTTTGAATAAATTGACTAGTTTCAAATTAAGGTTTAAAACATTTGAAACTATGTAATAAATTCTATTTAGAGATTAAATTTAATCTCTAAATATAAACTTATTCTTTTTGATATCTCATAGAATCATTCAAATAAGTTGAGAATAATAAAACTGTTTTACACACAATTCCAAATATTTGAATAGTTATAATTATTATTGTGAAACTTTTTTTTAAATTAATACCGCTGATAATCTTAGAGATTTTTTTTTAAATTGAAACCAGAAATATAGTAGTTGAATTAAATATTATGCAAATATTGACATTTATAAACCTGTTATTCATGTTTTATCAATGTATTTTTTGTTCAATTTCTCAAAGCGTGGACCATTTTTGCATTTACTTGAAATAGGATTAGAACTAGAATAACTAGTGTTTGTGTGTGTTGCGTTTTTGAAATATAAATTGCTATTTATATTTCAAAAACATCATGTATGTAGTTCAACATAAAAATAGTTTCTAGAAGGCTTTCACTTCTAAATTAAAATAATTGAAGTTGTCAATATTTTTTATGTATTTGAACTAATTTGAAATAGAAATAAGTAATTACTTACTTTTGAATTTAAAAGATGCTCAACTTTAATTTTTATTTTCATCTATTTACTCTAATATCTTGTCTAAAAGAAGACAGAGGATGAATTTTAGAACTACATCTAAACTTTGTTTTGCAGCTTGCACTTATACAAACTAATCATGTAATTGATTGCCTGAAGAATGTGCATCCAGATAAAGAATTTACACTGGGTAAGGAACAAGGATACTCTTTACATAATTCTTGCACATGAATGTTCATTTTAGGATCTTTCATTGACACGGATGAGATGTGTAACATCCTAAATATACATTGTGTCTGTTTTACATTTTAGATTCATATTTACATTTAGTGTAGTGCTATATTTCTAGAAGAACCTATTTTGACTTAAAATATTTTAAAAAATTGTGTCATAACGTTAATATGATAATTACCGTCAGTCATGCACTACACTTTGTTTTACAAATGCCACTGTGCTATACATGGATTCCAATTTTTAGGGACTTTAAATAATTGTAAAAATGTCAACTAAGTACTTAACCACTGTTTTTCTCTATCTTTATCAGTCAGAAAATGTCATATTGTTTGTGGAGTGTGGTATTAATATAAGAAAAAACTGCTATATAACATACTAAGTTTAAACTGTATTCCAAAAACAATATCAATTATTTTAACAGTATCAATGACAACACTGGGTGACCGTGTCTTGGATGTGTCACTTCCAAAAATTGGGGAAAAATCACTATTCACTAAGGACTTAGAAGATGCTTTGCACAACAATACTGTGGACTTTGTTGTGCATTCATTAAAAGACTTACCTACATCTCTACCTGATGGTTTAGCAATCGGGGCAGTTTTTGAGAGGTAAACCTAGTGATATTTGTTCATTTCTCTCAGACTTTGGTTACAGATCCTAAAAAGGCTATAGTGTATAAAATAAAGCAACTAGTCACTTAGTAATTTTGTTGTATTGAAACTATCAAATAATTCAAAAACTAATTTAATGAAATATTCTACACAATCCAGCCATAATTGTTTTCTCCTGATTAATAGAATATTTAGTTTATTACTTTAGAAATTATCAACTCCATTTTATATCATTCTTATTCATTCCAGTAACTTTCCAAGTAAAGCTTTGCTTCGATATGTATTATCTATCTCTATATTATGTTATAAATCCATTTTATTTAGCCTCGCCTAGCCATAGATGTATGGCTGAACATTATCTGTTTTAAAATTATTAATTCAGATATAATATTTAGTAATTTCAATAATACCATCTAAGTTGTGTTCTATTTTATTTCAGAGAAGACCCTAGGGATGCTTTAGTGCTTCGTGAAGATATCAAGGCCACTTCTTTAGAAGATTTGCCTGAGGGCTCTGTTATTGGTAAGTTCCTCGTGTATTTATTTTTTATGTTATGTAATCCAAAAAAAAATTAGAAAGCTTCATTACTAATGTCTTTTTAATTTGTATTCTTAATTCAAAAAAAAGGAAAAGCACTATATCCCTTGGATTAAGATTTCTGTATTTGCTTCGTGATCAATAATTTTTTCTGATAGGCAAGTAAGTGATCAGTTCTGTGCCCAACGCTAGCGAGTATTTGGGTCTAAGACATGCCAATTTCCTCACGACGTTTTCCTTCCTCTTATAAGGGAGTGTTCAATGCGCAAATAGAAAAGTTCACAGCCGGGGTTTGAACCTACGACCTCATGTCGAGTCGCATGCTCAAGCCGCTAGGCCAACACGGCTCCAATCATTACTATTAATGCAATGCAATGTGTTATAAATATGTAAAAGGGGGCGGTGTTGATGTTTAAAATCAATTATAGGAACTTCGTCCCTTCGTCGCACCGCCCAATTGCGAGGGAAATATCCACAGCTAAAAGTAATAGACGTGAGGGGAAATCTCAATACTCGTTTAAAGAAATTGGACGATCCGGCTACAGATTATTCCGCTTTGTTGCTCGCAAGTGCTGGGTTGCAGAGGATGGGATGGGCTAACCGAATATCGAAGGTATATTTCCTATAAAAAATGTATCTTTCTAGAAGACGGAGTAAATCATTCATCAATCATCAGTGGCGGATTAAAGGTCCAGAGTGCCCTAGGAAACTACTTTATCGGCGCCCCTGTAACGGCCATAAATAGCCATCATAATATAAATTTTAACTAGTTGTTTTTGCAATTACGATGACGTTGTATCATCAAACCCTAGTACTTTAATAGACCAGGACCCTTGTACTTACGCTAATGCGCGAATGAAATATGACGTCATAACAGTGAAGAAATCAACAGAGACGACAGAACGAACATCGAAATTCATGATTCCCCTCTGCTCTGTGAAATAGGCCTTAATTTATTTATTTATTTCGTAATCCTACAGCTAACATAAATTATGTATAATAACAAACAGTTACACTGAAAATATAGCCAGATATGGAATACATAATACATTTAAAAAAGGTTCAAAAATTTACAAAAGGAAACAAACAAATAATAAAAACTATTCAATACGTTTAGCTAAGTGGTACCTAATTTGGCTGTGTTGTATGATGGTGTAAAAGTGACGGTATGTACGTGAAGGTGTGTATGTGGGGTATGTTCATGAAGCAGGTGATTTTGCGCTATGGATATTCTTAATACTTCTTATAAGCATATTCTGCGATAGCTTAAACAAGTCAAGGCTTAAATATTGGTCGTTGTATGTCCGGGCTGCGCGATACAAAACAGTATTAATGTATATCATTTAGTTCTTAATCGTCGATATGTTATTTATTTTTTTTTTTTAATTCTGAACTCGCGCGTAAGGGACGCCCCTAGGCACGTGCCTAGTTTGCCTTACGGATAATCCGCCTCTGCATGCTATTAAGATTTAGTCAGTTAAAGTAATTAGCTTCTAGTTTTAAATAAGTCATAAAAATTCATAATTATAATGCAACTATACTACGAGTAAATGTTATGGTAATATTGTTGTTAATTATGTATTTACGTGCACATACGGTTTGCGCAAACGCAATTAATGATCACCAATTTGCATTTTTAATTTTAAAGTATAAAGATTAAAGTGTCATAAGTCAAATGTTTTATCAAATGATAGTTGATAAATACGTGAAAAATGAACTCTATTTTACTAACTATAAAACCTAATAATTTAATAATATTTTTACTGATTTTTGTTTTGCCGTAAGTATTTAACAAAGATTCGATATAGTTTCCGATTTTTAAAGCCATTGTTCTTTGAATTGTTAATAATTATCGAAATTACATTATGTAGAACAATGTCAGGGATTTCGGAAGGGCGTATTCAATAACATGATTATCATATTACTTTGTATTTAGTTATTAAATATGTATAATTTGAAATAAGCATTTTTAACGACCTTCGTACTTAAGTGAGATAATGGATATGACAATGCAAGTAAATAAAATTCGATTCAGTAGGTTAGTTTGGCAATTTTTTTTTAGGCACAGGCCGTCCTTGTCTTATAAAATATTAATAAAAAGGACGGAAATATTATGTCATTCAGCGAAATTTGTTCGTTGTTTCATATGAATTTTTAACAATGTAAATGTCATGAACAGTTTTTTTTGTATATTTGGCGTGTACAATAATAATAAACTAACAAGTAAACTTAAGGAAATATACGATCTAAGGTAGATTTCAGTAGAAAGTAGAACGTAAATTTCATTAGTTTATTTTTGCAAAAAAGGTTAGGTTAGAAAATAATGATTGTCTCTCAAATCTTTTATATAAATAGGTATTTTTTTATTATACTTGTATATTAAAAGTCTGCCTTAAATTTGACGAATATAGTTAAATTTTAAAGTCGAATTTAATACTTTTACAGTATTTACCATGTTCGGACATGATGTACGCTGTGGGGCAAGGGGCGTTAGCAATTGAATGTCGGTCGGATAGTGAAGAAATTTTGAAAATGTTAGCGCCATTTAACCACCCTGAAACCTACTGTAGAATACTGGCTGAGAGGAGTTTTTTAAAAACCTTAGGTGAGTTTTATACATTATCTATGCTAAATGCGTGGTAAATAAAATGTCGCTTATTATGTGTTGCTTTAGGGGAATAAATTTAAGTGTGTTTTATTTAGTTATGTATAGTTAAATTAATGTTTTAGATCAATTCCATGACTTTTATATATCTGTGTAAATTAGGACAATAATTATCCATGATTAAGGCCAAACATACATACTTTAAAAAATCCAAAACCAAATTAATATACATACATTATAATATAATTATTTATGCAATTTATTTCAAACAAAAACAATTTATTATATTTTTCAGGTGGTGGTTGCAGCGCCCCAGTTGGAGTGTCTACTAAATTAAAAAAGTTAGATACAAATTATCAACTCACAATAACAGGTGGCGTGTGGAGTCTTGATGGAGCAACCAAAATAAGTCATACCCTCGAACAAACATTTGAACAGATAAACATATTGGAACAGATTAAAAATAAACCCAAACACAAACTAAGTCCCACAGATGACGGTTCAACAAAAAAAATTAAAATTGTTGATACAAGTGATAATAATGTGAATCCATTAGCGGAACTAGATGAAATAATTAAGACTGACAATGCAAACTGTGAGGAATTAAGAAGTGATGAAGAGATAGAGGCATTGAAGAAGATATTCTGTGGTTTAAAAGCAAATCGGAATGTTCCGGTTGATGTTATTCAAAAATGCGATGATTTAGGTCGTGATTTAGCTAATTTGTTGATTGAAAAGGGTGCTCTAGATGTCATGAAAGTGACTCAAGATCTAATACGATCTTCAGTTGTCAAGTCTTGATGGATAGATAAAATGGGGCTGTCAATACAAAAATATATTTTAGTTTTTAATTTACAAATGTGGTGACAAGCAATTTTTAAGAATTTACAATTAAATTTAGTATGTAAAAATAAATGCGATACAAGGCATAAGTTTAATGAAAAATAAATTGCTCAACGACGTTTATTTTTAAATAAAAGATCAAATTTTCACCGTGAATGTGTATATTATGTATATTTTTTTAGATATTAATTAGATAACAATTAAAACAAAACTGTTAAGGTGGATAATAATTTCAAACTATATCATTTAAATGAAATTTTTATTTACCTGTTGTTAGTTATGAATTATTTCAAAAATAATATTATTATTGTTAAGTTTAATTATCTTGAACTATGTCATTGTACAATTGCTATATATGTCCTATTATAGACTTTATAATTAATAATGTGCCTTGCATGTTATAATTTGTTTGTTCTCTGTATAATTTTTTTTAGACCTAGCAACATTCCCTAATACACTCGAGAAGTGACAATGTAATATGACACATGGCGCATTTCATTTATTTGTTTGCGACACCTACAATCTAGTATTAACTAAAGATGTATACAACTTTCCGCTCTTCAGCACTCGGGCCAGTTAGTTACTAGTCGAAGAAGGTGGAAGGAAACACACATTCTTCCTCCATAAGTGTGATTGGTCGTCTTTGCATTCTCGCCACTATTTTATTTCTACTAAAATACATGATTATCTACTGTCGCCTGATCTTTGCTCTTAATCAGTGGTGAATTCTGTATAATTTTTTTTTGTTAATAGGTAAAATAAATGAAATCTCTCTAAAAAGGATTTTTTGTATAAGGCCATTATTGCGGAACTATTTGTAGATATAATTAAGTACTTATGTACATAATATAATCGCGTACTTATTGTTATATTGTTGAGTTTGGGTATTTTATAAATAAATTGGTTGTTTATGGGTATTTTTATTTTTTATAATGCAACATGTTTTATTAGGATTTAAAATAAAACACAATATAATACAATACTTTTATTTTACAATAAATCTCATTCAAAACTCAAGCATACTTAACCAGTTGTGAACACAAAACCTAAAAACACTAACAAATTATCTACATTATTGAACTTTTACAGAAAGTATTTAGTTTTAATTTTGGCGGCAATATTGTTTCACAGCCTCCATACTCAAATATTATTAGAAGATAAAGCTACTGCCACTTTATAGTAGTATTATTAATATGAAACTATTCTTGTATTAAAGTATGAAAATTTCACAAAATAACATTTACATAATGCTTATTTGAACCATTTTTCAACAGAAGGCATGATTATATGAAATAAGATTAATACTAAATAAAAATTTATATAGAAAGCATAATACATAAGTATTGAAATAATAGTGCAGACTAAGAATCTTAAATATTGAATAGATAGAGGAAATGAATTCTTAGGCCAATAAATCTATCTAGAGCCATGGCTTATGGAGTATATGATATGCCAGTCCCAACATAGCTATGAACAATTTGGTCATGCACAAAACTAGTAATTTGAAGCCAGTTGTCAAAAATATGAGTAGTTCAGAAGTACTCTGTCCAGCATACCACATGTTCCTGTACCATGTCAACACTAATTTATTCCACATCTTCTTCTTGTAAGGTTGCACCTCTCATTGAACAGCGAAGGCGGTCAGATATCTCTGGTAACTTCTTGAGGAGTAGGTGGAATATGTGTGGTGGCATTGTTTGTTGGAGCACCTATAAACATGAATTTATTAGAATTCTTAACTAAAATATGTAACAAAGAAGTCAGATTGTATTTAATTGTTGGAATTTTTGTGGTAACTAGAGCAGTGTGATGCATAAAAAGTAAAATGTAGTATTACTCTGAAATTGTTTTAGTTTATAATAAAGCATGTGATATAACCTTTTTCATACTGTAATTAAACTTACACTTAGTAATTGTTGTGTCTGTCCACAAACAGCCACCGCCTGTCCTAGATGTTCCACACCTGCCTCTAGATCACCAGCTGCCAGCAATTCTTCTCCCAGTTGGATCTAAACAATGTTTTAATGTAAATTCTTCATTGAGATACATAAGGTTATATACATTCAAATATCTTTAATACACTATATGTATATACATCAAAGATATTTATTTTGTTACTTAGTAACCAAAAGTGGAATAATTATTGTTCATTTTTTTACTATGATTAAATACACACAAACTAAGAAAACATGCATGCAGAAAAAAAACATAACAAATATATTATAGAAAAAAGTATAGTTTAATTAAAAAATAATAATAAATAAATTATATTTTAAGACTATAAGTACCCTCCCTTTTCATGCTATTTTGTTAAGGTTTGAACTGCCTGGTTTGACATGTTTATAAGATTATTTAAAATACCTGTTGCAGGAAGAATCTCTGCATGGCTTCATGATCATTCATATCAGGCAGAGGACCACCCATTGTGCGTGATCTGCTTGAATTCTGTTGTGCATTTTGCCTACCTAAAACATAGGATTCACAATGATATTAATACGTCACAAATAGTTAAGTATAAAATATAAGAAAAACAACAAATTAAACTACTGTTATAAATTATAATATGAAGGTAAGAAAAAGAACTTAGGTCAGTAGTATAAATGTTTGTACGGATACTTTTTTCAATATAAAATACTATAAATTATGGTAAATTTGCATATTAGCAATATTCCCAACGTTTGTATCCGCAGTTTTTTATCTTTTATAAATTTACAAAAACACAGAAGCGCCATAAAGCTGACTTAAAAATTTTAGGTTGTAATTATACAACATGAAACGACTAAAGAATATGGTAATATTGCCATTGCTTTGTAATAAAGCAAAGTAACACATAACTCTCTATAGTATAGATATAAATACTTACGCTCCTTCAATTTTTTTTTGTACAGCGGGTCTTTACGACGTTGTTGATCAAAATACACACAATACCCTAAGAAGAGGGTACCAGCTATTCCAGCTGCGAAACCTAATGTTGTGCGGCTTAGTTCCATTTTAATTAATATATTGTAACAATGAAGTCATATAATTAAATGTATATGTTACGAACGTTCAGTACATTTACAAAAATCTCGTCGCCATTGAAGAATGAAAATTGAAAAGAAATGTCAAAATATGTTTCAATGTTGGCTGTTGTAAAACTTTGCTGTATAGTTGGCAGCGCTGTTTCAGTAATAAGGATGAGTTCCTAATATTTCAGCAATAGATAGCACTTTTTGTAAACGTTTATGGATAGATACCCTGTTAAAAAAAAATCCGTTAAAATTTCATTCAACATAATTTATAATTATATTGCCTTTTCAACTGATTATATTGATTATTTTAAATAATATGTAAATATAACAAATTAGTAAAGAACATTTTTATATTTCTTGCCATATAATAAAAATAGCTGATGTACACATGATTGTAATTTGAGATTTAATATATTTAAAAAAATCCCTGTTTTTTAATATTTATGCCTGTCGATCCTTGTAAGAAATTTGCCTGTGAGATCCAGAGATGCCTTGTTGGTAAGTTAATTTAATAAAATTTTATTTATGAAACCACTTGCCGACAACTAACATTAAATTTAGTCGCCATCTTTACTGCAATCATTCAGTCGCCTCTAGAATTGCGGGCGTTTCATCGCCGTATTTCAATGTTTTGCTCAAAATTAACTCTATTGTTCCTTTCAAAATATATATAATAAGTTCGTGGAGTGTTGCGTAATAGTTTAATGTAAAAATGAGTTTTTTCGGATTTGGACAGACAGCGGATATCGAAATCGTGTTCGATGATGCTGACAAACGCAAAGTTGCGGAGGTAAAGACAGATGATGGAAAAAAGGAAAAATTACTATTGTATTACGATGGTGAAACTGTATCTGGCCGTGTAAATGTAACACTGAGAAAACCAGGCTCGAAACTAGAGCACCAAGGCATTAAAGTAGAACTCATTGGTCAGATAGAACTATTTTATGACAGAGGTAATCATCATGAATTTATTTCCTTGGTAAAGGAGCTCGCCCGGCCTGGCGACCTATTACAGCATACATTGTATCCATTTGAGTTTGCAAATGTTGAAAAACCATATGAAGTTTATACTGGTGCTAACGTAAGATTACGATATTTCCTGCGGGCTACGATTGTTCGACGTTTAACAGATATTGTTAAAGAGGTTGATATCGCTGTGCACACGTTATGTAGCTATCCGGATGTGTTAAATTCCATTAAAATGGAAGTGGGCATTGAAGACTGTCTTCACATTGAGTTCGAGTATAATAAATCAAAATATCATTTAAAAGATGTTATTGTTGGTAAAATATACTTCCTCCTTGTCAGAATAAAAATAAAACACATGGAAATATCAATTATCAAACGAGAAACCACTGGTTCAGGCCCTCACACATTTACAGAAAATGAAACTGTTGCAAAGTATGAAATTATGGATGGGGCACCAGTTCGAGGTGAAAGTATTCCGATACGTGTTTTCTTAGCTGGCTATGATTTAACTCCTACAATGAGGGACATTAACAACAAGTTTTCTGTAAGGTATTATCTTAATCTTGTGTTGATGGATACTGAAGATCGTCGTTACTTCAAGCAGCAAGAAGTAACTTTATGGAGGAAGAGTGATAAATCACGTTTACCACTTCATAATCCACACCATCCACAAAACCTTGCAACTCCAACACCTCAAAGACAGTTAAGTGCCTCTAGTGAGGAGAATTTTATAAGAACAGCATCTCCAAATGCACCAGAAAACTTACAAAGGTCAGTCTCCCCAGCATTGCCGGCAGAGAAGCAAAATGGCCCTGCACAAATGGAACAAGAAGAACCTGATGTCTTACCTGAGAAAATGTCCAACACACATATTGAAGTAACATCGGATGTTACTGAAAATACTGAAATCCCTCCAACAACACTACCAGAAAATAACATTGATAAGTCCCCAGTTTCTGAAAATTGTGTAAAAATAGCTGAAGTGGAAAAACCACAGATAAGTGAAAAACCCCAAGTCAAAAAAGTAAAACCACAAGCTGAAAAAGTAATGGTGGCTGAAAAGGTAATGGTGGCCGAAAAACCCCTTCTTGCTGAAAAGCCTCAACTTGCTGAAAAACCAAGGCTAGTGGAAAGTGAAGCTAGCCCAAGTCAATAGCCATTTACTTGTGCGGTGATACGCACCAATTCTATGGACTACATGTTTTATTTGAAAACAATTGTTTAAAATATGTATAGCCATTAGATTGTTAATGTTTCATTTTTGATGTTTTATGAAGTAGTGTTATAAATAATGTAAGTGTAATAACAAAATTGTGATAAGGTTTGAAAAATGCACTTTTCTTTGGTGTGTCTCCAAGATGCAATGCTATTGAACATAAAGTACATATTTATTTGAGTAGGATAGATAAATGATATATCAATGTATGCCTATAATTTGTTTATCTCAATTTTTGTTAATTAAAGTGCAGTGCACTATAGCTTCTAATTCTTTTTGCAAGAAAATTTGTATATTTTTACACAGATTAGTGTATTTGAGAGAAGCAATATTTAAATATTGGTAGCCTTATTTGTATATTAGAGAGATCATGTCAGAAGTTGAGAAGTATGAGTTATGCAATAGGTACATTATTAATATTTAGCTTATCATTTTCATTCAGTTAATTGATCATAATTGAACACCTATATAATTTGATTGCTAGTCCACCTTAGTGTCAAGACTTCTTTACAGTTTTTCCATCTTATTTTTAGTACTCTGATAATGGACTACTACATGAAACACTATATTTTCTACATGAAATTCAAATTACATGACTGCTATTATATGAAATTAATTAGTAATTTTAAATTACATACCTAATGGATATATATCTGAGACAAATAATGTTATATTGAAATAATTTTATAAATAAATGAATATTCACTCATGGCAACTATAGCAATTATTATGAAGGTCACATGAGAATGTTTTTTTATTCTGAAAACTGAATTTACACTTCAGAGTTTGTATATATGTGCAGAATTATTTTTAAATTATTGCTGTGAATTTGTGGGCTTGCAAAAAATGTGAAAGTAAATATTGACTTGATTATAAATGCATTCAACATGCCATGTCTTATTTTTACAAAAATTATTTATAGAATCGTTATTTTCGATTGAACATTGTCAGCGTTATGAAGTCCCCTTTCATGTATTTGGTCATTACGTCATTTACGACTATCTGAATGATAACACCTACATATATTATGAGATTAGTCAATAATGATCTGTATATAAATATTTCGGTTCAATAAAATATTATGAAATATAAACAGGTTTTATAAATTGGAAAAAGCATCCTTTTATTACGTTATGTTATAGGCATTTTCAAATCAGGCAGGAAGCCTTATCAAACTGCATGAATGAATTGTGGTACTGGGAACAAATAATTGAAGGTATAATTTTACATGATAATACATGTGTGTGTTTACTCAACCTAGACATGGTTTAAATCAACTTGGCTAAACCAGTCTTAAAGCGTTGTTTTTATTCTGTTTAGACCTGTTTCTGATTTGATTATTGTATTTTATAAACTTTGCCACTTACGGCCTAGCAGCAAAAGCTTTGCTTTTTAGCTAACGCAATACAACTAAAAAGTAGGTTTGCTTAAGAACCTTTACAGTTGGGCATAATTGAAATAGCTTTTCTATAAATCAAATATTTAAGAGTTTTACACTTCTCGACGATTCGAGTTAAAGTAAATTATAGATACCACTATTGTTCGTAATTTAAAATTCTTGGATGAAATAAAATCCTCCATAGAGATTATTGTCTAGAGACAAGCTGCTGGTTACATAATGCAATCACCTGACCTTATGTACCTACGGCGTGTTAATGGTTTTTCCAGTTTTTGCAAAATATGTATATGAATTGGGATTTCCTACCAAATTACCTATATAACATTTTTTATTTTATATCAATGTTTATCAATTTATATATATCGGCCTTTAGTGAGGATCATATTTTATGCTGAGGGAGCGTTCAAGTATTACGTAACGAATTGTGTGTGTCATTTTGTAAAACGTTACGATGCGGGGCGGGGACCACATATTGTTCTATTCCGCTAACAGTTAACCAATGCATTTACTGTAGTATGATCAACATCAATTTATTTCAATTGAAAATATTAAATGTGTTCATTTCATTGGTCACATGTGAAACGACTAAGCAGAAATTGAATCCCAATTACTTATAACAGATTTAATTATATGAAATTGTGGATTAAAATTGTGATTATAGAAGTGAGGTTTAAATTTGATTACACTTACATTATATTAGCTTTGGATATTTTAAACGTTATTTATTAGAAAAATATACATTACCAGCCAATTTAAGTTTAATCTAGACTGAGGGTGTCCAATATGCTTTAGTAATTATATTAAATTTTTTTCCGTCAATTTATTTTTAGGATCGTTTAATTATAGACATTTATGTAAAATGTTTGATTGTATGTCAATATATTGTTAATGAATAAATGTATAAATTTATATGTGTCTTGTCTATTTCTTTACCCCTATGTCTCGAACAAGCTCCCATTGCTTATCTTCATAAAAGTAATCATCTTTTCTGTGATAGCAATGGCCCTGGGTTTTGTAATGTTGTGAGTCTGTTACAGTGACTCAATATAGATTGAATCTCAATCAATATAGATACTCATTTCGAAATGTTAGCATAGTACTGTGTAGGCCTCCCACTAAATGTATATACGAGTCTTATCGTATATAGTGTTACAAATAAAAAGCAGTAAATATAAAATGTGCTGATAAGTTAGGAGTTTTGACAGTTTAAATGTAGCGTATAATTAACCAAATATAGACCGTAGCTAAAATTGAATGAAATATAATCTCTAACATAGTTAAATTTCGTGAATTTTTCTGCACCTACTGCTCAGGGGGCGGTTCGTGTATTACGTAAGCAATTTAGGGGGGAAGGGGGCTCTTGGATTTTCTTATTTGGTGATTACGTGTTACGTCAACAGTAATTATTTACTTTTTTACACATATTACCCGCCCACACATGTCTATGCTTGAAAATGAAATGCATTTTCGGGATTCCTACAAAAAATTAATACCTATGTACAATTACTTTTGCTGACAAGAGGTGGGGTAATTCTTACGTAATACTTGACAGGTGTTTCCCCTACAATTATATATATATATTAAAAATAATTATTGGGATATACTTAAGACTTCATAGCTCAAGGCAGCTACACGTCCTAATAAATTTTTATTTTAATAATACACCTTCATTTATTATTATTTTTTTTTACACTTAGCACACTGTCAGAGTAATTATATGCTGGCAGCATTTTGTTATTGCGATATTTAAACGTTGCTTAATATTGGCACTAAATATTGAAAATTATTTTTCCTTGAATTGCTTTTAGGCGCATCTAGAGACGGATCTGCCCTTGACTCATCTTTTCGTGTACAAATTTAGCATTAGATTACCAGTAATAAATAATTGTAATAATTTGTATCAAATGTTTATTATTTCAGAACACAACTTTCAAGAAGTGCGTTGTGATCGTGTGTTCGAAGCCATGAGGCAGTGCTGTTTAAAGCACAAACACGTATCTTTGGTTTGCGAAGGCTACGGCTTGGAGCCTAGGACATTCGCGCCCGTCACTGACAGGGCGGAAAAACGATTTTAGGTACAAACTCTACTTTTCCGAGAGATAGTAAAACAAAAGACGACAGCACATTCCCTTTTATTGTCAATTGGTCATCTCTAGTCCAACGTGACGCGTAAGTGACATGATACGTCATTCCGTTTGTTGATTGTTCAATCAAATTCAAGCATTATTAGCAAAATAAAATTTGATCGTTTTGTCTTTCCGAACCTATGATATTAAGAATTGAAGAGAGAAAAATTTTCTTTATCTTTTAATCACCAAACGAAATGTTACATAAAACGAAGCCACCTGGTGGCGAAACGGAGTTCGCCGGGTTTGCTAGTACTTTATAAAGATTTAATGATTTTTAAATAATATGTACAATTTATGCTGGATAATGTTCACGATGACGGAATACTTACTTCCAAATTTGTTTCTTAAAGAAACTTAAGATAATATATGAAAGATGTATGTGGTCTCGGCATTAGTTTTTATTATTCAGTTGACATGAAATATCTATGATAGACTTTCTTGAAGGCATGTCCGGCTTCACAAACGAGTGTCATGTTACCATTGTGGGATTAAGCCACTTGCTATTGAAATCGATACCTGGAACCTAGACAATACCTATTACTAGTTTAGTACCTAATGAATCCGTTTTACGTAAATTCAAAATTCAATTCGATTCAAAACGAGACTAGGTACTCTGATTTTTATTCCGTAGAATTCTGACAGCTATCATTTTTTGACAGAAAATGGCAAACCTTTTTGGCCGGGCACATTTTTCAATTATTTCAATACGAATCTGTACATCTGAGTCTAAACATACATTTTATTGTTAGTTAATGTATCCATTTTATTAATTGCGGTGCTCCACATTAAAAGTGGTTTAACGGCGAGTGGTAATTACGTCCCTTTTCATCACAAACAGTAAAAACGCACAAGTAAAGATATTTTTTTTAAGGTTTACTAAACCTGGAATTAGTAGGCAGTGATGCCAGCTAACGAATAAGATAAAGTAATTAAAGTTAATTCGAGAGAGAGTTTGTGATATTGAAATATTTCATATTTTTGTTTTAGGTCACTTGAGTAAGTAAATATTTAGATTTACTTTTTTGTAGGTAAAACATAAAAGATACGTAGATAGCAATTTTTTTATTGCCCTCAAATAAGTCAAATTTGTCCCTTTTTCGGTGGAGAACTTTTTTTTAGCAACACTTATGAAATGTCAGTATTCTACGGAATTAAAACTCAGAGTATAGCTAGCTTTGACTCCCGTACGTCAAAAATATATGAATTTAATGTTTAAAGAACTTTATTTCTCATTACAAAAAATGTACTTTTATTTACATGAGAAACTTAATATATCTAATATAAATATACGAACGAGATACGCGCCGCCATCAGCTATCCCAATTTTAGTCTACTAGGGTCATTCTAATATGTATATTTGATGCCCTTTTGAATTGATTAAACACGAATTTTTGAGGGTAATTGATCAATTCAGATAGACTAGAATAGAGATAGACTTCTACTATACTATTTTAACATACAGGAGTCATAGTTCGTGTTAATTCTTGCTTCCGTTTATCCCCTTAAATTTCGTAATTAAACGTATATTTAATTTGGTTCAATTTTTTAAATAATAAAATAACCTACTAATTTTATTCTCTAAAAATAATTCAGATTTCTGCATCTGTTGCTGGCTTTGCCACTCAAAAATAATAATTAATAATCTTTGTAATCCAGTATCATAGTAAATTTTTTTTTTCAGATAATGGATCAACGTCGACGCAGTAAAACACTAGGTCAAAGAAGTTGGATTTTCAGATACCCAAAGACATTTCAAGTGACATTCACCACCTTATTCCTTGGCATATTCTTCTCTAAACCAATATACGATTTATGTTTTAGAGAGCTAGAACCCATTGACACTAGCGAACCCCCTACCACATTTAATCCTAAGAGAAACGTTACTACTTCATAAGGTATGGAAGCGGTATCAAAAGCAAAAGAAAGATTTGCTAAATACCCACTTATTTATGCGAAATGCTCTAAGCAAGGTATGCTTTACGCTCGCTGCGTACTTTTAAAGGAAGATACAGTCAAAAAGAACGACTGCGCTAAAGAGTTTCAAGAATTCAAAACGTGCTTACACAGCGCTGCAAAGACGATAAAAACGAGGATTTAAAATGTTAGGAGTTTTAAATTTACCGTTTAAATTTCACGCCACACTAGCATTTATCATTCGTTTAGCTTTTGTCTGTTATGGCACCTATCATGACAGCCATTTTGATGTACCATACACAGACATAGATTATAAAGTTTTTACAGATGCTGCAAAACATGTCTGTCAAGGTGATTCCCCGTACAAACGTCACACGTATAGATATAGCCCGATTATTGCGATCTTTTTAACACCCAATGTATTCTTGAATTTGAACTTTGGAAAACTTTTATTCTGTTTTTTTGATATATTTTGTTCCTATGCAATAAAGCAACTTATTGAAAAGCAACTAGGTAGTAATAGTAATGCGGCGAAAATCGCAGTACACTGCTCCTTATTTTGGCTGTACAATCCTATGAGTATTGCCATTTCCACGCGAGGTAACGCAGACTCTATGCCATGTTTCTTCATAATAATTTCACTTTTGTTTCTCCAGACAGATTTAGTATTAGGTTTCCTAAAATATGTCCTGAGTGGCATGTTCTTAGGACTCTCAATACATTTGCGATTATATCCTATAGCATTTACATTTCCCATGTATCTTTCTCTTGGAGAATATAAAATCACTAGAAAAACTAATATAAAAGATGGTATTATCCAGCTACTACCTAATAAAAAGCAATTGATTCTAGCTTTTAGTTGTGTTTTAACTTTTGCAGCCATTACAGGGGGAATGTATTTATTGTATGGTTATGAATTTTTATTTGAAACATACATTTACCATCTCTTCAGGAAAGATACCAGGCATAATTTTTCAGTCCTCTTTTATTACTCATATTTGACCTCTGGTCAAACAATTGATTTAATTAAAATGTTAACACAGATATTTGAATGTGTCATTTTGTTTATACTTAGTTTAGCGTTTGGTACAAATTCAAATACACTTGCCTTCTGTTTGTTTAGTCAATCTATGGTGCTGGTTGCCTACAACAGTGTTATGACCTCACAATACTTCATATGGTTTCTTTCACTTTTACCATTAGTTGTTCATGATTTTAATATGAAACCTAACCTTGCAATAATGTTAGGTATCATTTGGATGTTCCCCCAAGCGAAGTGGCTATATTTTGCATATTTATTGGAATTTAAAGGACAAGACACATTTGTTTTCATTTGGTTAAGTGGAGTATTGTTTTTTTTTGCAAACATTTATGTTTTGGGGCAACTCATAAAATATTATAAGCCTAACTATGGTTTTGGCCAAATAGCTAATATGAGTGAAATTAAAAATAAGTAGTATTTAGTTATTTTTGTAGATAGATTTGCAATGAAATAAAATATAGAATTTGTATTATTTTTATTCTAAACTACACCAATAACTAACATTAAAACAAATGCATATACCACTGCTCTTTATTAAAGCAGTATTTCTATCAACATTAGAACCTTTAATACAAACTTAGTCGAGGCAGCATATTGTTAAGTATAATTTATTTAAAACTATTAAATTAAGCTTTGAAAAATGTAGTTGCCATAATATCAGACATATTATGGTTTTTGTGTTATTTATTTCTATTCTTATTAAAAAAACATATCTATTATTTCTTTTCCTGTAGATTAATTTTCGTTAAATCTTCAGTTTCTCCTTGAGACATGTTAGATAGCTTCTTACCAATTCGCTCATGTACATCCAGGTACTTTGCAACACATCTATCCAGACATACTGATTCACCTTTTCCTAAAATAATTTAATACTATTAATAAGGTAGCCCAAAGATATTAGATTAAACTATAGTTAAAATATATAATATCAAATAATATAATTTTTTTCATGCCTTGAAAAATACAACAAAATATCAGAATTATTCTAATGCAACATTTTAAGATAACCTACCAAGTTCAGGTTCGTAATATTTAACAGGTATACATTTTCGATGACAGGCTCCTATAAGACGATTGTACATATCAGACATCATCTCAATCTCCAGGTCTTGCACCAGCTGGAGCTTTGCAGGGTCTAATTGAGGAACTGCCATTTTCCTATATTCTAATTTGTACTATGTTCTATCAACTGGAAATTGATTGACACATTTAAAATATACAAATTTAAGTATGTTTAGATTTGTCTTAAATATTTATTTAGTGAAAAAAGTTATTTGAAGCAATTTATCAGATTTTAGGTAAAAACACAAAATTATTGACTAAACATTTTAAATTATACAACATTTTTTTTTTATATACAGCTTTGATTTTCTTGATTATTGTTTATATAAATCTATAATAATTTATATAGATGTGGAAAATCTTTAACTTACTATTTTCCTCACAGTTTACGGTAAACGTCTGGGTATTCTCCTTCGTTAGATTTTCTCATGCGTTCACGAGATCTCATATTCTCCAAACGTCTCTCATTAATGTGACCTTTGGCCAGCACAAAGAGCGACAAGCTTACAGCAGTTATTCCCACCCTAAGATATATAAGATTAAATGAAATATAGTTATGAATAGATCTTCTAGATCAGTTTCAGACTAGACATAACCTAAATTTAATACTTTATTTTACCGATTAAAAAAATATGTATAGCTCACCACACACATGTGAAAATTACGGATTAAGTAATTATTATGTAAATAATTACCACGAAAGAGTTATTTTTCCAAATTTTCCAAGCGACATAATTTCTGCGAAAAATCAAAAGAATGACATTTGTCGTGTGTTACCATAATCGTGTGAAAAATAAATTTTGTCTGAAAGCTGCTTACATGTTTACACAAAGAAAACATTTTTTAAATAAAAGTATAGGACAGAAACTCTTGAATTTTTTAATACATAATTGAAGTGAAACTTCTTTATCGAGGTTGGAAAAAAATTTAGTGTAACATTTTTGAAGTTATACTTCTTTAGGCGCGTTATGAAAAATTTATGAGAGTGAAATTTTACAATGCGCGCGCACCCGTGACACAAAATTAGGAGTGTGATTATAGCGTGCGCGAGCGAGATAGGAATAAGACAATCTACAAGTAAAAAGAAATAGAATATGCGTGAAGTTCGTATGCCAACAATTTTGAATGACCATAATGACATTTCTCATTTACCTTTTAAACAAATAAAGGAGTTTTAATTATTTTTTCAAAGAAATTTAGCGATGCTTTTTGAATTATAATCAGAAGTGATTTAAATTGAATATTTAAACCAATACTAATTAATATTTGTGAAAAAACTGTGCTCATCAACCTTCCTAAGTGCTTCAATACAATTGAGGTTAACTATCCGTATGTATTATTATTATTATCGAGTAATGTTTTGATTAAAAAATTAACCACATTGTTTAATCAAAACATGTAATTTTTCTGATTTTATCTAGCAAATATAAGGAAAAGAGACAAAAAACAATTGATGAATCAGTGTAACTGCACTAAATTGAATACAAAAAAAGAGTTTTCATCTTATCGCTGTGAAACATCAAAAACTGGAGGTGGAACAAAGCCAAACTATTTTTAATATTGCCAAAGAAGTATAACTTCTTACGCGCGTACATAAGTACACGGACCCTTTTTTTCGTTACGCGTCACATTTTTCGGTTACGCGCCATGTTGCTTTTTGAAGTCAAACTTCTTTATCGGCGTTGGAATGAAACTTCTTTATCGACGTATGGGAGAAATTTTGTAGCAAATCGTCACGTTTTTCAATGATAGTAATAATTCTATTACAATTAATGAAATTCTATAATAATCTTCGTAGTAATAAGGTAAAATGAAATATTTGTATTCATGTCTATGATAATAAAAGCCTTTTGTTAAACTTTATCTAATTTAACGAATTTCTGTAAAGTTGCATATAGTAGATCATTTTTCGAAAAATAAGATCATAAAGAAGTTTCACTTCTTACGTGTGTACACCTAGTACACGCACAATTTATTTATAATTAAACAGTTATAAAAGAATATACATTTTACAGTCGACGATTTTGTTCACTTTATTACTTTTTTACATATTATATTGGATTTTTTTATGTTTATCTTATAACGGCAAGTAATATTTCCCAAATTGTACATTAAATTAAAAAAAAAACAATCGTTACTATTGACATAGTAAAGATAGTGCTGTCTGTGAATTATCAATTCGTTTGTTTTCGTTGTCCATTGTCAAAGTGTTTGATAAAAAAGCCACAAGACAAGTAAAAATTAAAAACAAAACGTGCTGATTGCCGAGCTCAAGCTTAGCTGTTGAGATAATTTAAAGGATAAATAACATTACCAATTAAATATTTCTATTATTAATCTATAGAAATGCCGAAAGTTACAAAATTACATAGTACGGGTAAGCCAAAAGCTCTCCAAAAATCTACTAAGCCCGATGGGTCAGATCAACGAGACCCAGAAGAATCGTTAAGAGAATTTCAGTTACAGCTTCTTTGGTGTATTCAGAAATTAGAAAAATCTATTGGTGAAAAGAAAGGAAATGATAGACAGCGTAAGTAATACATTAACAAATCTAAATTATTTGATTTGGCAAATTTTTATCCATGTACATTTTTGTTATAATTTTGTTATCGAAGTCCTAGTACTGTTGAAATGTTTTCAAGTTAAGTATTATTTCTTTATGTAGAGTAAATAATAAACTTTTATGCTTAATTAATTGTTATGGTTTGATTGGATGCAAGCCATAATAGGTAGGCATTTTATTGATAAAAAATAATTGATACAATAATTTAGTAACTTTAGGAACCTCAACAACAGATTTAGTAAAAACTAAAAAACATTATTTTATAGTTCAAGAAATGTGGAAAGTATTGACAATTTTAAAAAATAACAATCAGCCAATTATACGGAAAAGGCAGCTGATGCGGAAACACCTAGGGGACTATAGAGCAAAGATGGCAGCTGAAGAGAAGAGCCTGGTCAAAAGTATGTAAGGATCTTTTTTGATGTTTATATTAGTTTTTAAAAATGTATAATGCTGTAATAGCCCAAATTAACATATTATGGTTAAATGTTTTTACCTTCGTTTTGTACACAAATTACTTTTTTCAGTGTCAAGCAAGATAAAGATAGCAGATAATCCAGTGCTGCCAAAGGCTACATTTCTAAGAAAATCAGCATTTTTATCGAGTGGTGATACTGCATTTAAGTTCCATTTTACTGTTTCACAAGAAAGCGAAGACAATGTTGCAAAAGAATTAAACAATGTTATTGACAAGACGGAAAACATTGTGTTAACAGATACTGGCAACACATCAAAAACTGTCATAAATGATGCAGAAGATCTCATGAAAGAAAATTTAAGTAAATGTAAATTTTCTGCTTCTGGTTCAGAATTTAAGTTTAATTTTGATGTAGATGGAACAAGTAAGTAATTAAAGTGAGAACGTTAAATTTAGTTATATATTTCAGATATTACTATAAAAATTGCAGTTTATTTTCTTAGTTTTTAAGGCTGATAAATTTTTTCTATATTATTTTTATGTATTTTTCAAAACAAATCCTCTTATGAATTTGATATGTCATTTGAAGCAATAAACAGTTAAAAAGTTATATTATGTACAGTTGTTGGGTTTGGTAAGATCCATAAGATTTCATCATAGAAGACTCACTATGGAAATGTAATATTGATATTCTTATGTTACAGTAATTGAAATTTTTGAAAACTTGCACCCAACTGCTTATTCTAGTTAAAATAATAATTGTACAAACCGCTTTTTATAGTTTTGTAATATTGTATTAGTATAAATAAACTTGGCAACGCCGAGTGTGGAAATTAGTTTTTAAGTAAGCTAATAAAACAATTTTGTTAAAACACCTTTCATTTATTTAGTGAAATATACTCTTCAAGTAACAGTCATTAATGTCCATTGCAAAGTGATTGATAAAATCCATTTTCAACCTCAACTCTGCTATCATCTTGTATTTTCATAGCACAAGCGTAGTCTTCATAAAAACTTGCAGAATTTACCACAGACAATCCTACCGGCAATTCATATTTGCTATAAAAAGCACCCCAAGTTGCAACCCCTAGCAAGATGTTGGTTTTTGTATTGAATACCGCGCCTCCTTCAACTCCATGGTACATGGAACATCGTGGTTCGTCATGTCTGTAATCATCCAATGTGCAAGAATGATAGCAAGGCACATTGAAGTCCCCCATAAGGTTGTTGAACGTATAAACTTCATTACACAACGTTATGTCTATGAAAACTTCGAGTTCGGTTAGAAAGAAGTCTGATTGTGGATTTCTTATTCTGTGAAAACCCTGCAAAACCAATAGACGAAATGTACTTTTTTGAGTGTTGCATATAATATGTATTTTAAATTCTGTACAGGGGCGGATCTACTTAAGGGCTTTTTAGGCTGCAGCCCAGGGCCCCGAGTTCCCACTGAAAACAATAGGCGATATTTTGAAATTAAAAAAATCCAATCAAGGTGAGATCAATCAACCCATGTGCGATGTGCGTCAATCGAACGGATCGGAGAATTCCCCGTCGCTTGTTTTCGGTCGGTGTAGTTTTTCGCGTGTATTACGGGGGTATTCTCTTTAATAACCAAGAGCCTCACAAATTCACAAATCGCCCATAACTGTACAGCAAATCGCCGTTTGTTGATGTTCAATACTTTTTATTGCTTTTTACTTCCAATAGCGGCAGTAATCCTGCCTTTTTTGTATGCAATTCTCATCTTAATCCAGGGTCGATTGAGAGTACCGGTGCGGAAAGCTTTAATAAGTTATTCTTGCTTCTAGAACAGTTTCCCAACGTGGGGAAATCCCCACAAGGGGGCAATTTGATTGTTAAGGGGTCTATTCGATAATTTATTAAAATTATTTGGAATTTGAATTACAGTTTTTCATTGTTTTGAAATTTTACTTTTCGTTAACCGTTTCCTAGTAATTTCTTTCTCAAACCTATAATTTAAGCTACTAACGTGAACATACAAATTTAAAGGTTAAGGTGGGGCATGGGACAAAAAAGGTTTGGTAACACTGTTCTAGAAGGTATTTCTCATCTTAGGTATATAAAATGAACAGTAAGTGGCTTCAGCGTGCGACTCATCCCTGAAATCGTAGGTTCGATCCCCAGCTGTGCACCAATGGACTTTCTTTCTATGTGCCCATTTAACATTCGCTCGAACGGTAAAGGAAAACATCGTGAGGAAACTGACATGTCTTAGACCCAAAAAGTCGACGGCGTGTGTCAGGCACTGGAGGCTGATCGCTTACTTGCGTATTAGATTTAAAAATTATCATGAAACAGATTCAGAAATCTGAGGCCAAGACCTAAAGATGATCTAGCGCCACTGATTTATTTTTTTTAGGTATAAAATATGATCATATGAATGCTCTTACCTTTTTAATTGTATAACCCACTACTTTATGAGTATCATTGAAGCTACTATTTCTAAACCATTCATATGCAGTGTCAGTTCTATTTAGAGGGTAAATGTCTATTGTGTTCCATACGCCCATATAATATCGTTTATGTACCACGATAAATCCAACATCATCATATCCTTGTTTTGACCCATTTGAAGGAACAATAAAAGCTTTTGAAAATATTCTGTGGTCTTTATAAATAACTCTGGTGTAGGTTATGTGTAGGCTGAATAAAAAAGATTAATTTGTACACGTACTTAAAAAGACTGTAAAAATCGAGGAAGCACATATGAAAAAAGCAAACTAGCAGGGTTTGAAACTTCGTAGCATTTGCACCTTGCCTTTAAAATATGTATAGACAAAATATACATAGTTAAACAAAACTTCAGGAACGTTAAACTTGAATTATTCACATAACTCGTCGTTTCGACGCTTTACCGTAGTAAAGTTAAAAAGAGAAATTCGCACTTATACAGATACCGGCAAACATCTTGAACAAATGTCCTTTCATACGCAGAAACGATTTTTAGGTATTACTGGGAAGGGGGGCGGACGTTTGTGTCCCACGCTGCACAAACTTTCCCCCACTCCCTTGATTAATGCTCCAGAAGTTTGCCGGTATCTGTATCCTTAAGAAAAGTTTTATTCACGTTAACTAAAGATAAATTTAATAACAACCAAACAACGCGTCAGGAGATAATAAACATTGAAAATTATCAATTTCTTTCTACCAGATGTACATAAATATAAGTCCGAGAAATTGGTAGTACAAGTAAATATAAACGTAAAATAGGCATATAACATCCCTTACGTAGCAATGCACCTAGCGGCAGTTACAAATATTTCCTCTTTGACACATGCAGCAGTGCACACGTGTGGCTTATCTGTATGCCGAGAATGAATAACCCGGGCAATCCACGGATACACATCTTCCGACACCTGGGTGGCGTTTACTTCATAATTCTTTAAGGGAGGAAAGACTGAAAATTAAAAGCTAACTATGAAGTCAGCAGAGAGTTAGACGATTTATCGAGCTTGTTTCATTTAAGCAAAGCCAAACCATAATGCTAAATATAAAAGGTTCGCAAGTAAATAAGTTCCGAATAAGTTCTTTGATTCGCTGAAGTTCAGTAAGGTAATATTGAGAGTCTGATTTTCGGCAATGCTTCTTATTTCCTGAATATAAAGTGGATGTGTAAGTTTCCTAAATAATATTAAATAGGTACATATGTTCATTATGAATAGTAATTAAGGTCGGTTTTTAATGCAATCATAATAATCCCGGAATAAATAATAATTCATATGACAAATGTTAATGAAGGCATCGGAAACTAGTTTTATACATTTTTCAGTTGTAAAATCAAAGTGGGCGAAATGGTCACATTGTTTTTTGACAATATTTGTAGTTAATTTTTAAAATTGTAACTATTGTGAAACCTTCTTATTATTCATCTAAAGTGAAATATGTACTTTTTTTCTCTTTATGGCTCTGGCACGGTTTGTGCATTAGCCAGCGTCAAGTATAAGATTTTTATAATTCGCTGTTTTAATTATTTACAAATATGTACTTACAGGTTTTGGATAAGTTCAAAGATTCCTTTTCATCACGTAGGCTATACCGCTGCCAAACTATATCTTCAAAATTATCTACGTATTCGTCTCCAAATATTTGTGTGTTCAAAACAAGAATTGTTAAATAAAATGTATGCATTTCGTAAATCGTTTGGCATTTTATAGGTTTGTTACATTGGAAAATATGGTATTTTTATCATAATCTTGGAAATTAGAATCCACGCTACTATTTTACGGTAATAAAAAAATATTTGATATAATTTTGTTGAAGGCCTTGCCATAATTTCAAGAGTTAAAAAAGATATTGCCAATTCATAAAATTCCTATCGTTTTCAGGGCGTAATAAAATACAAAACCGTTTACGACGGAATCGTTTAGAACAACATACCGGTTATATTGACCAAAATCAAAGGTCCCGGCTGAATTCTATGTATTAGGTTCTTAATAACAACGTCATCAGCTGTTCGACTATCGGTTTCTACGACCAAATATTAGTAGTCCCTTCGATGTCGTTATAACAGATTTTGACTGTATATATTTTGCAAACATTAACTTATGTAAGCAGTGACAATAAAACTGTGCTAACATTCTAAAAAAAAAATATTATTCATTCAGTTTTTTTTTAAAAGTAAAAAAATCTCAAAATATTGGTGGTGCGGCCTCTAATTCCAATAATCCCTCCGAGGCTTCAGTGCTCGAAAGTTATCCTTCAATTATTTTATATATAATAAAACACATTAAATATAATCATTTATTTGGATTACACGCTTAACATAAAATAGTAAATATTTAAACGATTTCATATTTATCAGGATGGAAAGATATTTCCTGTGAGAAGTCCACCGGTGTCCCATCATCAGCCTGCACCACTTTGTGAGATGACAATAAAGCTAGTGACGTTTCAGATGTCCAACTGACAGTTAGCGGGAAGAAATCGTTTGGTATCGCTGGAGTAACACTGAAATTTAACAAAATTAAAAATAAATTACATAAAAACTTTTTAAATACAGTGTAAACTCTCAACGAATTTCGTGGGACCGAGCATTTTTATTTGTTATAAAGATATTTCGTTATAGGGAGAGAAGAAGTTTTTCCTTATAACGAATGACGTTATAAAGAAATTATACTGTATGTCTCTGTTATCAATTATTATTAAAGGTAAATAGATGATTTATGATTGATTAATGTATGTATGTATAAATAATAAATTTATGAAAACTCGAAGACTCGTAGTTATTACTACTGATGTTGTATGTAGATTGTAGAGATCGGAAATTAATGATTTCAATAACTAATACCATCTCATATTACCTTATACAATAAAAAAACGCGATTTATTATTGGACTAAAAGACTCGAATCCATTGTCATGTAATAAATCATTCTTAATTAACAGTATTTAAAAGATTTTTTTTAGACTTACGTAAATTCCAAAGTGCCACTTTTCTGTTGTTTATTAATAAATGGAATGTTCCAGACAAGAGTTCTGCCCTTTTGACTGTAGCTACCTTCCCATTGGTGGACGACAAGCGTGGTGTTGCCAGATCTTAAAAATAACATTTTAAAAATTCAAGTAAAGTTTAAAAAAAAATAATTGTAATAAATAAAAAAAATTGTTAAGACATAAAATAATCACCACAGACCATATCTTGACAATGTTTTAAATCTTTAAAAGTTTGAAGTTTTTCGCTCACGACTGCTATAAAGCACTCGAAGCGTCTATTTATGTAAATAAGTAATCAATTCCCGTTTCTATCAGATAAAAATGTTCGTAAAGCAACCACAATGTAATAAAACAAAGATAATATAGACAGCCATATATACTCACGGCAGAGGAATGTTAATATTGACATCTGCAAGCACCAAGTGATCTTGTTCTAGCTCATACTCAATGTTGACGTCACAACCGCCGTTAGCGCCCTCTGACGGCCAGCAGTTCACTAAAACCATACATTGTCTTTTTATTCACACTTTTATTTAAATCGGTTAATTTTAATTAAAAAACCTTTGGTCTAATTTAATTATGTCCGTGTATCTCATTCTAAGTATATTTAACTATAAATAAAATCTTTTTTTAATTGTTTGAAATTAAGCAAAAAATCTTTGGTATAATTTCATAAAAAAATTTAATCATCGGTCTAAATATCAATAATTAACAGTATAATTGAAATAAAAAAAAAAACATTCTTAAACATCTAGCATTTCCCAAATGTCGTCACTTATTTATTTAGAAAAATCTATATTTAAGAAAGATATTATATATTTAAGAGAATTCCTATTATATTAAATGTTTTTGCTAAAACTACAATTAAAATAAAATTACTTTTATATTTATAAAAACAAAATGGATGTATTTCATATCGTCTTAAATTCCACGCACGGTAAAAACATTACAATAGATTATTAAAAATGCATAAGTGTAAAAGTACCTGAAAGCGGTGGTCTGTCATCACCGGCGGTTGCCAACCTCCACTTAAGGACTCCGACATCACTGTTCATCGGGAATGGCCTTTGAGCTTGCTTCAAACGAATCACTCCCTCTGATCTGAATGCTTCTTTGTCCACGTTGGGGTGAGTCTATAAAAATAATATCACAGTTAAATAATTGATTGAATGAATTGATAAAAACAAGTCGTTTTAGGGTGAGATTTAGCATCGAGTCGATTAGCTCTAAGTGCTACTCCCGTATCTCACATACGATACGTTTTTGACCTTCCTTCCATACATAAATAAAATAAAAATTCTAGTATTATAATAATGATTACATTACGTTTATTTTTGTATTTAATATTAGTACACAACCTCTGTCGGTCTCCAAATTCTTCCATTTGTCTCTTACGAAATAAGTGCTTTAAAAAATGTATAGATTATTTGTAACAATGGTAAAATAAGGTTAAATCCCGTTAAAACCATTTTTTTTTATTTACAGCTAGAAAATATTGATTAGTTTTTTTTATTTTTTATAAAATTAACAGAAATATCTATTAATATTTTCTCAGTACATTTTTAAATCACAATATGTTACCCGCATACGCTTAACAAATAAGTCGAAGAGTCGAGAAAACTTTAAATTTGCGAGAGTAAGCGGGGAATGGGAGCTTGTTTACGCTAGAATGTTTGAGTCGAATACTCAACAATAATGTAATAAGCTTATGTATATTACCCATTCAAACACTGTTATATATATGTTAAAATACACACCTGAAGTTGTAAAGGCCTCGTGTCCTTATTATCGACGTGCACGTGAATCCGTCCGTACAACTCGTTCGTTATACGCAGCGTCAAGAGACCGGACAACTCAAAGTTTTGAATATCGCCATCACGGCCCGCTGTTAGGTTCAAGCGCTCTTCCAAACGTAGATGGACGCTAAAATGTTATGAAGTACACGTACTGTATTTGTCTTTATAAAAACACTCAGAAAATTCAAAAAACTCAGAAATAAATTTCAATTTACCAGGAGTTCAAAATAACAAGCGTTTAATAAGTAACCACGGAGTGGAAGGGGGATTCAAGTAAATTTGTTTAATCTAATATAGTGATTTATTATTTCTATATTATTATGTATAACCATTAAATATTATTGTCCAAAGAATTAAAAAAAAGGGTGCGTGTACTTATGTACGCGCGTAAGAAGTTATACTTTTTTGGCATTATTAAAAATAGTTTTTGATTGCATGCAAATAATTAATTACACTCCTTTTCCAGTCTCTGATTATTTAAATCAGAGACTGGAAAAGGAGTCATTATAGTCAATAGAGTTCAGTTTACATTTGAAAAATTCAATAAATAAATATTTATTATTATTCTCTTACATTAAGTGTTCTATTATTCGAATGTTGTTTTTAAATTATGTCCAATGCCGTAGCATCTTCCGTGGGCAACTTCATTCTGTTAATTTTGTGTCACGGTGGGCGCGCATCGTAAAATTTCACTCTCATAAATTTTTCATAACGCGCCTAAAGAAGTATAACTTCAAAAACAATTGACATTGTACACTTCAAATTCTAGAGGGTTGGGAAGCCCGGACTTCAAATAACCGAAGGGACCAATCAACATTGGTTTTATTCAATTTATCATGTATTTTTTAAGGACCCGAAAACAACTTCAAATTATCGAGAGTCGACTGTACCATCGTGATCTACAAATATTTTGTAAAATACAACTTGGCGATTTAAAACAGTGACAGGAGAGCTTATTGTCAGTTCTTTCCGTTCGTTCTACATTGATTTGTGTACCGTAAATGAAGTTTAGAAGTATTAATTTTTTCTGACGTTGATGTATGACATTTTCGATACATAAATAAATGATATTTTAAATGACCTACAAAACTTGCAACTGAGAATTGCATGTTACATGAAGAAAATAGTAGTGTACCCTTTCATAATCTGTCTAGATAGAGTATAGTCAACAAAATCTTATGAACATTACTGCTTGCCGAAGAAATTGTACCCAAGTTATGTAAGAATTAACTAAAAATATTCCTTCCATTACTTAGTAAATTGAGTATTAATATTTGATAATTTTCCTTAATAAATTATGACATACACAGAAAAAAACCATATCCGTATTTAATTTCTTTTTAAATCAGTAAAAAATAAATTAAATTGATACTTTTTTTTAAATACATATACATATTTTAATGATGCTTTTGACTTACTTTGAAAAAAAGCATGATAAAATAAAAATGATTTAATTTTGCATAATAATGGATTCAAGTTATCGCAGGTATATAGTAAACCTATATATAATATACAATGTAGAACAAATATTATGTAGGGGGCATTCCATAATCTCTTTGTATAATAAAATTTCCATTATAAGTCTATCTGGGGGGGGGGGGGGGGGGGGGGGGGGGGGGGGGGGGGGGGGGGGGGGGGGGAGGGGGGAAAAAAAGAGGGGGGGGGGGGGGGGGGGGGGGGGAGGGGAGGAGAGGGGGGGGGGGGGGGGGGGGGGGGGGGGGGGGGGGGGGGGAGGGGGGGGGAAAAAAGGGAAGGGGAGAGGGGGGGGGGGGGGGGGGGGGGGGGGGGGGGGGGGGGGGGGGAGAAAAAGAGGAAAAGGGAAAAGGGGGGGGGGGGGGGGGGGGGGGGGGGGGGGGGGGGGGGGGGGGAAAGGGGGAGGAGGGAAGGGGGGGGGGGGGGGGGGGGGGGGGGGGGGGGGGGAGGAGGGGAGGGAGAGGGGGAGAGGGGGGGGGGGGGGGGGGGGGGGGGGGG